TAGGTCCCTCTTCTTCAATAAAAATGAAAAAAGGTTTTTATTCCTGGCCTTTTGAAGAACAGATATCAGATAACACTCAAAATTAATAAGAATTATACAAATTCTGCATCATTCTAAGCCTTCTTGATTTATTTTAATCTTGAAATTCATGACCTGACAAATTTTGTGACAACTATATATTTTTGAGAACCTGGGACCACAGGTGGATTTGTTCGAACAGCATTCCAAGTTCTTCGATTACATGCTCGAAATGACTCTGCATGAAAAATTTACAAATTAAATTCGTCAAAAGCTTTAGAAAGTGAAATCTAATGCACTCAGTAAATTTGTTTTTTTCTGTGTGAGGAAATCAGCTTTTTCATTACCATCAGTTCTACAATGGAAATGAGCCTGCTTGGCAATTAGTCTGAGTTGAAAGTGTCTTGAAATTTCTAAAGATGTCTGCAAATATAGCTTTGATATATATACAAGTGAAATCTATTTAGCCTATTCTTAGTATCAGTAATATTAGGTGTTTTCAACATTAAATGGGGTACAAAAAGTCCATTATGATATCTTCAGTGATTAGATGTACGAAGTTTTCACGCGTCCTTTGCTCAATTTGTCCTTTGTTCTTTTTGTTTGCTTATTACTTATTCCAGGGAAAAACGTCTTGCATGTTGTAACCGTACTTTAACATACGTTAAATTTTACATTAAAACATGAAATATAAATAAATTATTTTAGGATTTCCATCGAGATGGTTTTAACATGAAAACTGCATAATGGAATTCCTAATAGTGTAAAGGAAGATATAGTTATTATAAAGACTATTAGTATTAATAGAGGTGAAGCTAAGCAGGCTTTAAGCTTAACGAAAAGTGTTTCCACAATAAGACCTTCTTTGACTCACATGAAGTTTTAGATTTAAAGACAATGCTAAATGGGGAAACCTTTAGCAGAATAGAAAATTTTTGAAAAATCTCTGCTGGTTCTTAAAACCTTACAAATGATCAACTGATGTGAGAAGAAAAGTGAGGGGCAACTTCTGGCACAAATTGTGCACATCATGAAATTTATTTGCTATTTTATGTAATTTCCATGATATTTCTTATTTAATTTTTTTTCATGCACAGTTACTATTTGTTTTCCGTTTTTGTAAAAATTAAAACATTTAAAAATTAAACATAATTTGGTATTTTGAATTTTATAAAATAAAGTGTGTGCTCTTTGTTAATATTTTAATAGCTCACCACTAGATATTTTAATCAAAATTTTATCTAGGTTGATAAATTACAATTTAATATATATTGCTCAAAATATCAGATTATGTAGCATAATATGAATATTTTTTAATAAATTTTTAAACTCTGTAAATTTTCTTTTTTAATACTATATTTTAAAATATTTTTTGCGCATGGATCATATGGATAATCACAAAATATAACTTGAAGTTCAAAATTTCAAGTGTTTGTTTTCTATGTATAAGTAAGTTGTTTTTATCAATTTAAACACTTCATCAGTCATTTCTTAACATATTAAATATAGCATTGGTCCCTAGGAACCAACCTTAAACCAAGCAAAATAGAATTGTTATTTAACATGTTAGATATTAGGAAAACATAACATTAATGTAAACCATTGTAAAACAATAAATGATTATTACTAATTATTGTAACTAAATGCACACTTATACTCAGATACCACCCATTTGTCTTAAAGCCGTTTTTGACTCTTATACAACACTGGTATAATAAACTGAATGATGTTAATTTATTAAATCTGCTTGGAGAATAACAATTATAAACAGAGTCCTTTGTGTGCAGTTATTCTGCTACTAAGAACAATTATTCTAGATGAAAAAAAAAAAAAAAAAAAAAAAAAGAAGTTCCCAAGTTGTGCCGCATGAACAGAAGTCATATTCTTTTAAACATATACTTCATGAAAGTCTTCTACCCTTAAGAAGATACTGTTTTCCTGCTTTGCAATAATGAATTAAGCAAATAAGAAAAAATTACTACCATTGATACAGAACTTTTTAAAAAAAGAAAGAAAACACTTATACAATCTCTTACCAATTGAAATATTTTTATGCGTGCTCTAATATGCATAATACAGAATTGTGAAAATTCACCACAATTCCACAATCAGAAATGATAGCAAATTATAGGAACATAGGCAGCAGATGTGTAGACTACAATATACAATTTGTTGCTCTTTACAAAATAAAAATTAGAGGCATCCAATGGTGATAGCTGTTGTTGGAATATTTTATTTGTACAGAAAAAGAAAATGCTTTGGATTTCAAGAAAACTTATACAGAATTTCTGCTAGGGATTAATACATGACATCTGAAATCATAAGCAAGTGGAATTTAAAATTGCAGCTTAAAGACTGTGTGTTTTTCCTAAAATATAATTACAAACCCTGGAGACTAATGAAGGTGATAAATTACTGCATATTATTCAGAAAAGTCTTGGCAATGAAAGAAAATAATGTACATAGTAACACATACGGTGTAATATAAAGTGTAAAATACCCCACAGATTCATCATGAATAAAAATTACTTGATTGTGCTAATGTTCCAAGACTTTAAAAATTACATCTTTATTTTTACATAACACAATGAAATGAAACAGAATTATTTCGATGGAGAATAATGCATAAACAAGTTTCATGTTAATTTTTTCAATTATTTTTTTTCTTTTGGGAGTTACTGGGTTACCTGGGTTATTTTATGAGTTATCCCACATCAGCATTTTAATATACAGATTCTCTGAATAATCATTGTATTTTCTATATTTCAGTAGGAGCTTTTGTTAATGTGATTTTTGCCTACGGAAAAATATACAAAAGAGAAATTTCTAAAAGTTTTAAAAGTAGTTTAAATTAAAAAAAAAAAAAAAAAAAAGACACATTCTTAAAATATTTTTCTTTATTGAATTTCACGATGTTTAGAGTACATGAAATAATATGAACCTAGATATCAACAAGCATTTTCAAATACACAAAGAGCCCAGAAATTTCACAGTAAGTAATTTTTATCAATTATTATTTTCACCCTTTATTTAAAAGTAAAGAAAGTTATTGGGTATCGAGTTAGCCAATTGAGGGGAATATAAAGTTGTATTTGTTTTCGAAATTGAGATTTACATACTTCACTTATCGCTTCTACAGTAAATTAAATATTAAATCATATCAGGGCAACACAAAATAACCAAAACAAATGAACTACTTCTACCCAAGATATACGAACAAGTTACCATAACATTAACAACTGCTTTCTTGTATACCAGTTTTGCACAAAAATTGCGTTTGGCGATCGGAAAATGACGCCAAAAATTCCTGGCGCAACGGTTGTCTCTGATTGGTTGAATTTCTCCAGTTCCCGGCGGGTTTTAGCCGCCCGTTCCTTGGTGAATTCAGTTTCTTCACCAACTTCAGTGTCTTTTTGCCTAGTGGAGCCAAAAGTTTAATGCATCGAAAAATATGTCTTTCTGCATATTTTTGTTTAATTTAAACTCTGATTTTAATTACAAGCATTTTTAACTGTTTTTCATTTTATTTAATGTTTTAGATTTTTCTGCATTTTACAATTTTTAATGAAGATGTTTTGAGTTTTTATGTATTTTCACTTGCAACGAAGTAATAACTGAATTGTTTGAATGAGAAATATATCTCTAGTGAAATTTGGGGAAATAAGTTTAAATGAAATGCAGCGAAAAAAAAAAACTGTGCATAGGCCGTACAAGAAAGTCATGTAGTGTCCTAATCAAATTTTCTTTTTATATTTTTCTTAAGGACAGATCATCTGAGGATTCAGGAAATAGAATTCGAAAATTCCGAAAATCGAAATATAGCAATGAATTTCCAAATCTTATTTTATCTTACGATATTTTATGGCAGCGGTGCCCAACCTTGTGCTCGCAGATCGTTTTGTATGTGCTCGCCAGCCCGATTAGATACTATGAACAAAAAATATTTTTAAAATATCCATTCATTTATATTTCTTAATTGTTAAAATACGGTAAGCATTTATAGTCATAAGAGATATCTTGCAAGACATTATAAAATAATTAATTGGCTGACTCAATGAACTTGATAGCGAACATGGAATCTTATTTCTTCATTCTGATGTTAGATGGCTCAGCAGTGGAAAAGTGCTTCAACGATTTGTAGAACGTCTTTCGCCAATAAAGCAGTTTTCGGAATCCGGAAATGAAAGTTATAAAGAATTGGCCGATAATAATTGGTTATCCGATCTGTATTTTCTCACGGATATAACAGCTAAACTGAACAAACTGAACGATCTCCAGGGAAAATTAAAAAAACCTTTTTCAATTGACTGGGACTGTAACTGCTTTTCAGATAAAGTTAAATTTGTGGACAAATCAGATGAAAGAAAAAATTTCATATATTTTCAGAATTTATTAAGCCATATAAATAATCACAAGGCAATTGAAATAGAGAAATACTCGGAAAACCTAAATGAACTGAAAAAAAAAATTTTGAACTCTTCTCCGATTTCCATAAAGTTCAACCAATATTATTATTCATCTCAAACCCATTTGCCGAAATTACTATTTCAGATGTATCATATAAGATTGGAAATATGTTTAACAAAAATTTTAATGTTTTGGAAATGTGCTCGCGAGAGGCTAAAGCGAGGGCACCACTGTTGGTTGGGCTCCTTATCTGCAGGGTTTTAGCAGCAAATCTTTCGGTAGATTCTGTTAAGTAAAGTCCGGTAGCTTCTGTTTTTGGTAAGCAAACTAATGCACTTCTTTTCTTCAAAACTATTATGAACTGAAGTTTTACAAACTTTCCTTATCAGGTCCCAATTAAAACTAATATGAAACTACGCAGATAGATCTCTCGTGTACTTGGTCATAATTATCTAAGCGAAAATTAGTTTCAATCTCAAAGTTCATAAATAATATCCACTTTAATAATAACGCAAGTTCTTTCACATTAAAAAAATCCTCTTGTTTCTAATTTCCTTCTTAAAAAAATGTTTTAGACTTGGGATCCTGAACTTGAAGCAATTGCTCAGAAACATGCGGAGAGCTGCGTTTTTGAACATGACTGTAGCGATTGCCGAAGAGTTGGTATGTATAAAACATTTTGAAACTTTTGGTGGGGAAACCTGGTTAATGGTAATTTCAGAAATAAATTTTGTTAGCATAATATTTTAATTGGTAGATGGTTTTTTTTTTTTTTTAATTCCTTCACGAGTGGATATGCATGACCTTCTACTCATCGATTTAACCCAGGCTGTGAATGAATATTGAGAGGAAGTTAAAATGAATATACACTGCTCCCCTCCCCCCCCCAAGGAAACTGTTCTATGTTCTATAGCTCCCGTTCTGCTGGGCTTATTGATGAAATTCAAATTGCATTTCTCATGTCTCGAAAATACGAAAGATATGTATTAGACTTGTATATAGCGTTTTTCTAATATAGGTATTTTGACACAAAATCGGACTTTTTCTGAAATAACATACCAATGCTTTTTCATATTTTGATTCTACGACTCACATTATACCTAGATAATAAATTTTGTAATTTTTGGTGAGAAATTTATGGAGAAATTTAAAAAAGTATCTTTGCGCATTTTTTTCAGTTTGCACCAAGAATAATTTACTTGGCGAACTTCTTAATTTATGGCAACGTATTTATCTTTCCCTTTTTACATTGTGCAGGAGGGGTAAAAGTCACATCCTTCCTACTTTCAAATAATTTTATCAAAGTGCGTAAAACACATTTGATGCTGTTATCGCTTTCAACAAATATGCCAAATTTCAAAATGCTCCAATATGTAAATTCATGTATATCTTAAAAAGTTTTGAATAAAAAACTATAATTTTTTGCAAGTGTACCTAGAAATACATATACTCTAAGATGATGTTAGAAATTTGATGCAAACAATTTTTCGAAAAATTTATAAAAACTACTTTAAAATACAAATTTTAAAAATAAATCATAAAAAATGTACGAATATATTTGAATTAAGTCTAAATTTTGAATTATGGAAGAAGGAATCAAGTAAGTTTAATAAGAAAAGAGATATCCATAAATATATGTCAGATTCAATTAACGTTGAGCAGTTAAAATTTTGAGGGCTAATTGTTTTAAAAACTACTAGTGCGATTTTTACAAAACCTGGCAGTTTGGCATAATTTGGGTCATAGATTCGAAATATGGAAAAAATTGACATGCCACTTCAGAAAAAGTGCGATTTTGTGTCAAAATGCCTACATTCGAACAATACTATATATATAAATCTAATACATATCCTAAGTCGCGCTTTCGAGACATGAAAAACGCAAGTTGAATTCCGTCAATCGGCCCAGTAGAATGGGAGATATAGAACTATCCAATTTATTATTATTATTGCTCACTGTACTTGCAAATGCTTGAGAAGAATGTCGCGAAAATAAATCTAGATTTAAGAACAGCAAGTAGAATAAGCGGAACTTTTAACATGTAAATTTTTTAGGAATTTTTCTCCGTCCACGTTCGGTTAGCAATCGAAAGACCTGGAACTGGAGTCCTGGAGAGGACATTCTTGTTTTTTACCATTTCTCGTTCCAAAATAAATCCAGTGATTTGATTTCGATTTGACGTAACCTCTGAAATTTCCCTTTTTATGGCTGATAATCTAACATACTTCTGACGAGAAATTCTCATTTCGAGTCCAGCTGCTGGATGATCACTTTTTCTAATCTGTTATTAATTATGCTGAATAAAAGTTTTAAATTATTCTTAAAATTGTTATTTAGTTTATCCTTATATAATAATTTTAAGAAAATAAAACCAAAACTTTAATTAAATTCTTAGGCATTTTTGGGTGCGTCATTCATAACACTTTTTCTCGCACTGAAATAATGCAATTTTTTTTTAATTTCTTCGTTAAATAGATTTGCTTGCCATCTGGGCCTAAAGGGTGGACGACTGAGGAAAAATGTGCAATATTTTACAGACAGACTATCTAGCATTTGGTTCCAGTTCATGACCGCTAAGATTACTAAATATATGTTTAGAATAAAGCTAGTTCAGGCTAACTGCAAGTTTAATTAAATCTTTTTGCTTGAGGATTTCAAAACGTTCTGAGTGCTCATTCAGTCGGAGACATTTTGAAAATTGAATTAATCATGCCCTTTTAATTTCCTGTTGCATTTTGTATCCTCAGATTTGCTATGGCAATATTTGACATCGTAGGAATTGTGGAATGATTGGTCGAGGATCTCTCTGAAGTAGAGTAACCTGGAGACGGATATTTTGCAAGCTGGGCCATTGCTCCTGAAGTTAAAACTGTTCGAATACCGGATGACGACAATGCTGAAGAAGTTATTATTGCTATACATGGTCGACTATTTGTGGTCGACTTTTACATTGCAGTTTAAGGACAATATGGAACACATGAAAATTCTTATCTTTGCCTACATTGCCGCAAAAGAATTAAAAGGCTATCAGGACTGCTTGAGCTTCTAATATGTTTAGGGAACACCTATCAGGACTGCTTGATCTTCTAATATGTTTAGGGAACACTTATCAGGACTGCTTGATCTTCTAATATGTTTAGGGAAACCTATCAGGACTGCTTGATCTTCTAATATGTTTAAGGAACACCTATCAGGACTGCTTGATGTTTTATATGTTTAGGGAACACCTAATATCCTGAATGAGAACAGGGAGCTTATTCAAGCTATGCTCATGTATGTATGGAATGGATAACACAAGTAAGAAGGGTTAACTTTACCCTTTATTCTCCACGATATTATAGATGCTCCCGCACTTCGGGATACAAAGACCAACCACCTGTGGACTGATCGTAAAAGTATAAGAACTACTAACTAACTAAATTTAAATAAGAGCTTTACACAGATGACTAACACTAACCTCTTGATGACTAACACTAACCTCAAAAGGACTAAACCTCTGACCTTAAAGGCGGCAGCAACTGATTGAAAGCTCGCGTGAAACACAGAGGCAAGCAGGCTCTTTCTCTCTCCATCTAACTTTGTTCTTGGGGCGAAAAGCCACAACTGAAATACTTAAGCGCTAGCAAGTACAATTTGCATAAAGAAATTAAGGCGTTTATTCTGGCCGGAAGTGGAAAATAAGAGAGGACAGTGAAGTTTTAAAACAAAATAAGCGTTAGTTAAACTTATGATCCTTACAAGACATGCACGAGCAAACCTTATGCTCTTGTCACCATGTCTTCCTTTATGTCCTTGGTTCTCTTATTTTCCTCTTTCAGGTTGCCAGTATTCACATGGAAGTACTTCAAGGCCTTGAATGGGGTTTACACGATTTTTTTTTTTTTTTCAAACCTGATTTTTATTTTGATGATGTAGAATTAGTAATCTCTATAATTTATAGAAGTGGCTGCCAGATGGGAAAATGGTTAGCGGCACTTATTGCCATACCTAAAACCCCGGGTTCGAATTCCAGAGAAGGCATGGATGTTGCAAATTTCTAGTGTCTGTGCGGCATGGGGCACTCAAAATATGCATGGAGCATCGAGAGGTCGGTGGCAAGGAAAGATGGGTGGCAGCTGGAGCCGTGCCTACATATTTTCTCACCTGAGGCAAAGCGGTAAATGTGCGCCCCTGTATACAATGCAAGGATTATTTATTTACCTACTAGCAGCTTCGCTGCCAACCTTCGTCTTTCTTTTAAATGTACCGGAAAAATGGCTGAAAGGAACACCAAACGTTAAATTTAAAAACTGCGTAGAATTTTACTCTGCAGAACAACATAAAAAAAGTTATTACCTATAACAAAATTACAATGAAATAAGCAATATCCCTTATACAAATAAGAACTTTGTTTCCTAAAAAATCACTCAAAACTTTTCAATATCTTAAAAACAGTGAAATGAGCAATAAATAATATAAAATAAAAATGACAATGAAATATGCAATTCTCTTAAAAACAGTGACATAAGAAATACAATGAAAAATTTTTGACAAACCCATATTTCTAAAAGAATGAAACTATTCAAAATGATGCGATTTCATCAAAAATCTATCAAACAATAAAACAGGAAAATTGTTGCCAAAATCCCATTTTTAAAGATGTGAGAAGTGTACTCGCAAGCTTCATTTAAAATTTTTTTTTAAATACAAAATATTATCATTTTTCCAAAATTCATTTTGTAAAAGCAGTCGCAAGGATGAAAGTTCAACGTGTTCAAAAATCAAAGAAAAATAAACTGTACATTTTTAAAAATAAACTTTTTTAGAAAAAATCCCATTGAAAAGATGTTAAGCTCCCTTTGTTAAATAAATTCGTATTTAATCTGTTTATTGAAACACGAAATTTATTTTAAGTTCGTAAAATAGCTAAGTATGTACGTTACATGACGATGTGAAAATGGAGTGTGTAGAGTAAAATCTCGCTTTCCTATAGCCCATTATGTCTCAAAATGACGCGATTTCGTCACAAAACATAAATTTAAAAAAAAATCTAATTCGAATTTCGAAAAAATCTTTTCGAGGTGCACTGGCTCTTGTCTAGATGCACCTATGTACCAAATTTCGTAGCCGTGGGTCTATTAGCTTACGCGCAGCGCAAACGAAAGACACATACAGACAGACTCTTTCTTTTATTATATGTAGAGATTTGCGCGGGAGGAGGAGCATAAATAAATAATGATAAATGAGGTTTGAAGACATAACATTATACAAACACGCGCAATATATATATATATATATATATAAAACGAAATATATAAATAGCCTAAAAATTCGAATTAAAAATTAGAATAATTTTTTTAAACCCGTCCTTTGCTATAGTTGCAGGATTTATATATAATATATGTATATATGAAATGTAATTTCTCATACATTATTTGTTTTGTGCAGCCGGGGCAACAGGAATGAGACAAATTTTCGAATATAAAGTGGTAGGTTTATTTCAGCATCCATCTCACAAGCGTTTCTTGAGCAGAAGCCCTACTTATACATATGTGTGCGTCACGAGGCTCATCCAATCAGCGATATTAATTGAAATCACGAGGTGACGCTATCTTCTCATCAGGAGTGTTCTTAAGGACTTTATGTAATATGACAGATTTATGAGTTTGGCGATTTGGCGGGCGCCAACAAGTTAATATTCAGGAGCACATATTCGAGTGGAGAACTAGGTTATTCAAAATTTGATATCTCTAAGCACCGTTGTTTTTTCATAATGCGAGAAAAATGTATACATTCATGGAGATTCTTCATTAATTCATTTCTTTAAATATAAAGCAGGAAGATAATATTTGATGGCAACAATTTGAAAACTGAAACAGTCATTTCTAGTGAACCGATGCAAAATACTCTTTCGAGACTAATAGCCCTTCTGGGCTTATGCCTCTTTGGGCTAAGAAAAACGTTTATAGAAGGACGGAGTGGTTTATAATTCGCTGTAATGTTTCAAAAATGTTTAGTGTAATAAATTTAACAAATACAGCAAGAAACCTGCATAACAGCATATAATCTCCATTCGTAGTTTCTCCAAGTTTCCATTCGTAGTTATCTTTTTAAGCAACTATAGGTTTAGCAACTAGGCCGCAGTCGTTACGCCAGATGGAATTATAACTCAAACATACAGCTCATTGAAGAATATAAAGCTTATTGCATCATTTAGAATTCGTTAAATGCGAATCGGTTGGAACGCTGCAAAGGAGATTTCGTCCGAAACAGCAGACAAACACCTACAAGTAAGAAGACCGAAGTCCGCCGCCGAAAAAAAAAAAAAAAAAACTCTAAAAGGTTTTAGGGTTTAAAATACGTTCAAAAGGTTTTCTTTTTCTTTTTTTTTTTTTTTTTTTTTACATTTTGTGTATTACCTTTATTTATTGAATATCATGTTCTTCGCACTTAAGCACTTAAACCATAAAATTCAGTTCAAGAGCAATATCGTAAATTAATTTTAAATGGAGCATATCTTTAGAATTTCCGATATGCAATCTCAGGCGCTGGAAATAAAAATGTTTTTTACATACAACGTTCCCATCCCTTGCATTGAAATCCTTGAGTTTTTGTTAATCAAAAATTCTTAAAGTTTTACAAAATATGAAATCTATAATAAACAAATTCCAAATTTGGTCTTTCACGTACCCATATTCGTAGCAGGATTACATCATTCAAAATTCGATGGCTCTAGGTTCCGTTTTTTTATGACAATGCGAGAAACATACATACACTTATGCAGATTCTTCATTATTTAATTTCTTTAAATATAATACAGGGCGATAATATTTGGTGGTAACGATTTGAAAAGTGACTTCTTAAAAGGTTTCGACACAAAATGGCAAAACGAAATTAATAGGGCCGAAACGAAATTCAGGGCATATTCCCCCCCCCTTTTTTTTTATTTAAAGAAAATTATTTACAGGGGTTTATAAAACTTTATTCTGTAATTAAAAGAACAATAAAGTGATGTATTTAAATATTTCTTTAATTTTTAATTTTAACTTGCTTAGTCTAATACATACGTTTTAAAAATTATTTACAGAAAGATTTTCTGTGGGTCAAAATATCGTCATCAAAAAAAATTCGGAAGCTATAGAATCAGCTGATTGGCAATGGATGGTAAAGTCACTGTATGATGAAGTCTCCTCGTTCAACAAAACATATATGAAAGCTTACAGCGGTGGAAATGGTTTTGGACATTTCAGTCAGGTACAGTAACGTAAAATGTCCTAAGTCTTTTTATGTGGAAAATATATGAATAAATAACGAAATGCATAATCGCCGCTGTTCTCAACCTTTTGAATAACACGTACCATCTAAACAAAGCCTTTAGTACCACCATTACATTTTACAATGATTATTTTCCAATTTCTCAATAGAAATATTTTTTAAAAAATAATTTTTTGCCATTTGCACAACCTATTGGCTATTTGTATTAAATAGTCGCACATAAAAAATATTATATTATTAGAAATTGGTTGCAATTTTAGTTATCAAAGTTTAGTTATCAAAATGCAAGTGATAATATTCTAGTTCTAAAGCTTAGTGTGAAATTTGGGCTTTTTAAGTGAGATCAATTTCTTTATATCTGGTCTTATTTCACACAGTTTTAACGGTAACTTAGGATCCACTTTTAATTTTGTTCCGCATTTATTTTTCAAGTATAACATGGAAGAAAATCCTTGTTCACACAAATAGGTTGTGCAAAAAGACAATAAAAATGTAATAGGTTTATTTGGAAATGGCTTTAAATTATTTTCTTCAGTTCAGCCAAAAGTTAACAAGTGTGCTATTTTTGCAATCTTTAGTTAGAGTTCGATCACTGGAAATTTTTATCAACTGTTCTTTTTTTTCACGAGGTTTTTTAATTTAACAGTGAAACATTCTTTGTTTCTTTCCGTATCACCTATTTTCTCTTGCGTACCACCGCTTGAGAATCGCTGGCATAATGTATACCTTCCATTCCTGTGGAAAGTACGATTTTCTTAGACATGCATTGAAGATATTCACAGTGAGAATTTTGCATTTGCGTGGAAGTTCTTTGATAGTTTTATTTGAAATTCCATCATAGCCGCGTGCTTTTACATTCAAATGTTTTATGATTTGTTGAATTTCTTGAGATGAGGTGGGAGAAATAATTTGGTCGTTATGATTTTCTAAGTACTGCTTGACTTCTAAATTGATTTCTTCATCATGCTGTGGGCCTCTGATCATATGTGAAATTAATGTTTGTTCTAAAACGTCAGCAAACACATTTGCCATATTCTTTTCTGTATATGTGATAGAATTATTATGCTGAAGTCTCCCAATGGCGAAGAAACCGCTAGTTCTAAGAGAACGAGAAATTTTCCGTACTAAATTTCTATCTATTTCCATATGAGGTAGGAGATCATCTCATTTTACAGATCGGTATTCTGTTATTGCATCGCTGATTTCTTTAACTACGTGATTTAGTTGTCTTTTGGCTCGAGGATCTCTAGTAAGCTTCCATGTTTTCCTGACTCTATTTTTAAGTTGAATTTTATCTAGTATACTTTCCGGACGTTCAGAGTGATTTGTAGATGAAATGACTTTACTGGAATTTTCTATTGCTTTGGGAACATTTTGGTTACATCTCGTAATTGCCATTTCTATATCAGAAATATTCTGTAGCGGAGGTTTACGTGTGGTATATTCTAGAAGATCTTTAAGTTTTGACCAGTTAGTAATTTTCTTTTGATTTGGAATAGGAGGATACAAACCATAAAAAATAAAATTAATCGGAAAATGATCTGAATTGAATTCTTCTTCCAATTCCAGATATGAGGTATGGCTAATTCCTTTTAGTATCAGAATATCTAGAACTTCTGTGGTACCATTAATACTATGTAGTTTTACCTCTGCCAAAAATCGCTGACTGAAGCTTTACGAAGGTTTCGGATACAGAAGACAATGAAGAAAAGTTCATGTCCAGTAACTCTTGCCGTATTGACTTCCCTGGTACGATGTTTCGATGAAACGGGAAGTTTGTGTCATCGCCTTCTTAGTGGCGCACCAAGTTTATAAGAGGTCCAGTTTTGTGCCCTTTTTTCTTTGAATAGCGGTGTGCAAAAGTTGGCTAGAAGACCTACTCAATTACTGGAAAACGCTACTTTCAACTGGTACAAGAGAAAGTAATACCGCACTTATTGGAGCATAATGTCCATGATACAGTTCTTAGAGAAAATGCAAGATAAGGCACCTCCTCATATCACAACTGAAGTGAGAACTTTACCTCTCTAAGAAGAACTTTACCGAAGAGGGATTAACTAGCCGTTGCTGTAGAAATGAGTGGCCCAGCTCGCTCGCCAGACTTAACACCACTTGATTTTTGGCTTATGGCAAGTCCAGAGAGTACCGCAGCAGTCCATCTTCTTTAGTGACTCGTCACTGAATTCCATGCATTCGTCACTGAATCTCATGCATCCATTCGGATATGTTACATGCTGCAGTTAACGGTGTTGTAACTCGCATACAAACTGCAGTTTGTTGGTATGACGGGCATATAGACTAAGAATAATATGCTTGTAAACATTTGCCTGCATGCAAATAGTTTTCCTTGAAATATGTGATTTGCTCTCGTACAGTGATGAAATTGTTAGCTATTTTTTTCGTTACAAAACAAAAAAAAAAAAAAAAAAAAAAAAAAAAAAACTTAGAGAATAACTGAATTAATAATTAAATAAGAATTAAAAGAATTAAATAAGAATAACTGTTTAGCAAACCGGGTTTAATTCTACCAATTCCCTCAATTTTTATGAATTTTAAAACATTTACAGACTAGTAGTACACCCTGTATATATTTAAAAAAAGAAGTTTTATGAAAGAAGTTACCTTATTTTATTAATAAAAACACTTTACTACTTATAAACTGGTAAAATTCAATATAGTTGTTCACTCATTCTAAATGAGGCTGCTCAGTTGACTTCTACACATAATATGAACATTCTTTATGAAGAATATGAAGATTACAAGGTGTGGAATTATTTACTTTCGGTGAAGAGAACAGCAAGTAAACTGTGCCTTAAGACTTTTCATTTGAAATTAACTTCAATTTTAGTCTGATCTTGGTGCATTTTTAAAATTCTAGTAACAGTATGTCATTTGCATGTATAAATTGTTCAGTTCCATTTGAAAAGTTGTTACTTAAAGAACAGGACAATAAACTCTGTCTATTTCCCGATTTTCATATGACTGGATTTTCTTCAGGTTTTAAATAGTATATGTAGTATGTTTAGCTTCATAGATATGTTATAAAAGCATCCATTTTTCACATTCTCCTCTCAGATTATTTGGGCAACTACGCACAAAATCGGTTGTGGTTGGGTGTTGTACAAAGATGGGAACTGGTACAGCAGCTACTTTGTGTGTAACTATGGCCCAGCGTAAGAAATTTCTTACCTCTTATATTATCTGTTTATCTAATATATAGATATATGTATGTATCTCTGTGTGTTACGGTTAGTATGATTAATTGATTATACGATTAATTGATTAATAATAATAATAATAACAACCAAATAAACCGATTAAAGTGAATAATTTGTGCGACTTTATCTCATAAACTGCTTGCTATTCATAATTTCAATCAATAAACGGTAATCGTAATAATTTTTAATGTGTTCAGTTTTATATTTGCCATAATGCATGCGTATGATTTTCCCACGTCTAACAGATATGCAAACGTACGACATCTGTGGTGAGCGCTCGAGTTTGTTTTTACCTGTTGGCAACAGCTAAACAAAATGAATTAAGCCGCTCCCCCTCAGATGGAGGCGCCACAATTCAGAACGTTCACACTTGCTTCGCTTTCAACAGTTTCAGATGTTTTACGTTCTGCTTTAGTGTTAATTTGATGTTGTTTTCGTTGTCAGTTACAAGCGTGCGCATAAATAATTTCAAACTTTCACAATTTTTACTATATTTATAAGAACAATGAATAATAATTTAGAAGTTAAAAAATAAAGTTTTGGCGATCATCTGGACATGCTCAAATCGAAAAAAAAAAGGAGGGAGGACATCATCAGTTGTTTACAAAAAAAGTGCACATTTCTTTTTTCCCCCTTTCCTTTTTTTTTTTTTTTTTTTTCCTTTTTGGAAAGAAAGCTAAGGAAAGCAAAGAGAAGACTTCTGGTAAATCCCGAGATTATAAATGATTATCAAAATACGACGTTATAAAAATTGTTTGTGTTTAAAACTCATAGTTCCAGTTGCGATTATTCGTTATAATTGTTTGGAGGAGAATTTCTAAAAAATTCATAAGATTCATACTGCAGTAGGCCATGGTGTCTGAAACAGAATGATAAAAAGACAAAGTATATGAAGATATCAGTCGAAGTTATGATATATGTAAATCTTTGTAAACCTTATCAAAAACAAATTTGAAAGATTTCAGATTTTAACTGAAGCTGGAAAGGGTTTTTTAAGTTTTCTTATGCTCTCGCTGAGTTCCCAGGCTTCCACTACATGCAAGCTTTCACTTTTTCTCCTACTAGTTTTTTTTTTTTTTTTTTTTTAATTTTTAATTTTATTAGCTATCATTTTAGCTAATGCGACGATAATTAATAAAATTTTTTTAATTTTTTATTAAGCATAATTATTTTCGCATTTACGGCATACACAATTCAACAGCAAATTCACAAAAATTTCAAAAGCAGTATAGCAGTATACGTTTAGAATTCCTGATGCAGCCTTAAGTGTTGGCACAAATTTTTTTTCCCAGTCTTTTTTTTTTTTTTTTTTTTTTTACCATATGAATGTTCAGTTTTCTTACTAAGGTGGCTTTACAAAACACTTTTTTTATTAACGTTTTGTGGGTTTACTTGATTTATTAAATATCACGTTCTTGGCGCTTACGCCACATAAAATTCGATTCAACAGGAAAATCACAAAATATTTAAAAACAGCATATCTTTAGAATTTCCGACAGACAGTCTCTCGCGCTGAAGATAGAAATATTTTATTCCGTACAATGTTGCCATTGCTCGCTTTGAAATCGTTGAGTTTATTAATAAAAAATTCGTTAAAGTTTTGCAAAATATGAAATAAATAAAAAAAATTCAAAATTTGGGGTTCTAAGAGCTCCATTCGGCTGGAGGACTATGTTATTCAAAACTTGATGGTACTTGAACTTTCTAGGCACTTTTATTTTTCACAATGTGAGAAACATGCTTTATATCATGCAAATCCTTCATTATTTAATTTCTTTAAATGTAATACAGGGTGATAATATTTGGTGGCAACAATTTGAAAGGTGCGACGCAAAATGTCGTTTTGAGACTAATATCCCATTCGAGACTAACATTCATTTTGGGCTAAAACATGTTCTAAGAATTATTTTTTTCTGCGTTTTTCGTTGCTTTTAAAAATATTGAATTAAATTTCAGTTTTCAAGTTGATCTCACTGACATGCAACCACAAGCGGACAGAATCTTTCAGTTTATAATGGTTTATTAAGACCTTTTAACGAAATGCGTTCAGTTAGGAATCCTAAAATCAAAACGTGCCGAAAGATTATTTTATTATCTACTAGACTACTATCCCAGTAATTGGAGAACCATACATTTTGCAAAGTAACAATGACCGAGAATTTTCTAATCATATCATTAAAGAAATTTATGGAATACAGAATTAACTCAAGACCGTTTAAGGAATGTCAAACATAGGGAAAGAAAGGCTTGATTAAAACAGCAAGCGGAGACATTGAAAGGTGTTGCCTACTTCATTTGAAACAAACATACAACAAAGTGATCAGAAGGAACAAAATTCATTCTATGAAAAATAATCACATCACTCAGTAAAAGCACATCACTCAGGAATAGATCACAGTCCATATGAAACTATATTTGGCTGTAAAGCTAAAATAGGTTTAAGAACCTACTTGCTAGTCGATACTTTGTCAGGAGTAATTAAATGAAGAATATCTTGCAGTATTAAGAGTCTAATGAGGATATCCAACTTTAGACAGTAATTTCAACTGAGAATGAAGATTTAGGTGCAAACAATAATAACAATTAGGTGATTAGGTTAGAATCAAGTGATTCGTGTGGATACCTGAAGGTAATAACTATTGCGGATTCTATCAAAAACAGAAATAGACGTGTTCGGGAAATAGAAGGGGAGCAATATAATTCTTAAATAAAAAAAGAACAATGATCAAAAGAAAAAAGCAAAACGTTTCGTTGATGATAGAAATGGAGGATTGTAAAGAAAACAAGGAAGACTCTTCTCTTGCAGTCGATAAAGTCTTAGGAAATATTTAAGAACCTCGACTCTGCTAAACTATCACCTAATAAGCAAGATGAAAAAATATTAGCACCTTCAAAGTTGAAAGCTGCAAATGCTAAATTAGAAGAAACCGTTCGGATGAAAGTATCCGAGATAGGTAGGGATAAGGCTAATAACCGGGATTAATAGCTGTCAAAATTATTTAGGAAAAATGAAAACTAATGTAAACTACGTAACTGAAATAACATACCAATGTTTTTCCATATTTCGATTCTACCACTCAAATTATGCCAGAATACCAAATTTTGTAAAAATCGTACGAGTTGTTTTTAAAATTTAGCTTCAAAATTTAGCTCTCAAAATTTTTAATTGAATTTGGCAAATATTTATTAATATCTCTTTTTTTATTAAACTTTTTCGATTTTTTTCTTTCACATTTCGAAATTTAGGTTCATTACAAATAAAATTTATCCATTTTTTGTGTTTTATTTTTTAAATTTCTATTTTTAATAATTTTTATAATTTTTTTTAAATTTTTCGAAAAAAATTTTGAATTATAAGCTATAAACTTTTTACCATTATTTTGAAGTAGGTGTATTTTTAAGCATATCTGCAAAAAATTAGACTTTTTTATTCAAAATTTTCTAAGATATACACGAATTTACATATTTTCGCGTTTTGAAATTTGGCATCTTTTTTTGAGCGATAATAACGCCAAATGTGGTCTATGGATTTTTTTGTACAGTGAATTGCCACAGCATATTTTAACCTTAAATTTCAAGTAAAATTTACGGAGAATTAATTATATGACATTTTTCCCTCAATGATGCGTAATAATATTTATTAATACTATATGAAAAGCTATTTTTTTTTAAATTATAGATGATATTATTCAAATTTTTAACTATTTTTTTTAATTTCTCTCTATCTTTTTTTTTTTTTTTTTTTTTTTAAATAAGAGTAAATTTTTGTAAGAGTAAATTTTGACCTTCGGCGTTTTATCGTCTGCTACTTTACTTCGTTTAAATCGAATTGTCTAAAACTGAGAATTTTCGTTTGATGTTTATTTGAATTTTATGACATTAACTGCATAATTTATTTCTAAACAAAACTGTTGCTTTTGAAGTGGCTGAAAGAGCGGCTGATACTATCATCCATATTTTTTTAATGCACAGTATATTTTATAGAAACATAAGATTTAAATAATCAATTTTATAAAAGTCAAATTATGATTTAAACATACAACCCTCTAGAGACTGAATTAATGAAAGTTCAATGGTTATGTAGAAATGATCTGCAGCTACTTAATGGCTGGATAAGTCAGCAGATTCTGTGGACAAGTAAGAATAATTATATAAACGACACCCAACATTCTGGATTCAATTAACAACGAGGATACGATGTTTATTAAATGAATTTAAGAACTTTTAAAACATAAAAAGTCAACTCATTTTTTATCCTAAAATGTATTTTTGTGCGTAGCGTATTTTCATTATATCCTTAAAATTCTAATTTAGAATGTAATTGTCAAGAACTGAATCCTAATCATCAGTAATATAATAAGTAATTAATAAATCCTTCTTATAAAGTAATTGCAAATGTTTCAAAAAACTTTCTGTCTGAATGCAAATATTTTAAATTTTATATTAATCAAGATTGCACACGTTATTATTTATTTGCACTTCAATTCTTACCGTCAGTTCTAATAGAAGTTACAAATCAATTATATTTAATAAAGGATTTGATTATTTAATTATGGCAAAGCACACGAGGGCTATCTGCCTAAAGGGAGGGATGACTTCGTTGAGGATTTCTAAGGGAAATTGTCTTCTTGTGATTTTGTTTCTTTCCCAAACCTAAAGTTGCCTCTCAGAGGAACGTTTTTTGACATTGAAGAGACAAAAGAAGTATGACATCTACTTTTAGAGGCATGTCAAAAATAGATCTCTGCAAGCCTTCTCTTCCATTACATGTTGTGCAGTCAGACAAAAAGTTGCATCAGCGTAAATTCTATAATCTATTTTTATTACGCTCTGATTACTTCATTAACATACAGTGAATATATACTAAATCTTTTACTTCAGCTTAAGTAATTCAGAATTTTTGACGGAACTAGGACTTAGAAGATAAGTCAAATTAAATATTTCGATAACCCAATAAATTCAAGGTTGAAGTTTCAATATTTTATTTTCGGAGGGAGGGGAAATTTTTTCAGTTTTGGTCCATTATCCTAAGTATATATTTGCTTCGATTCTTTATTTTTTCATAAAAGCGAAAAATTTACGCATGGTATACATATAACGCATAGCTTCAAATTAAAATTTAATAGTATACAGAGTGGTTATAATTAAAGTTCCACATTGAAACGGTCATAAAAGGAAAACTACTCGATCAAATGTTATCAAACTTGGTAATCTTGTAAAGGAGGTCATCGGAATTTATTTTCCGCGAAAAAAGTTCGAAACCTCACCACCAGGGGGAAATGGCGCTGTATGCAATATTGTTAAACGAAATATGGGTCGGAATCTAACTTAACCTTTTGTTACACGGGTTTAATATGTTGTATACCCTTAAAAAACTTTAAAGTAGGCAAATTACCATTTAAAAGCGTTAAATTCGATAAAAGTCGAGTGCGCCATCCGTGTAAGTGAGAAATTCGTCCGTGAAAACCACGAATTAGGGATTAGAAAATGTGAGATCGCAATCAAATCACTCGCACAAGTGCGTACAATCTGGAAATCGTTTTCTTACAGATCGCTAATTTGTAATTTTTGAAGCCTGAATTCGGCACTAAAACATGAAGATACTGATTCAATACGCTTTTAATCGATTTGGGCCAAAGAAATCCCTCATGTTATCTATCTAGTTCCATTGCATTCTCCTACTGCATTCGATTGCATAGCAGTCATTCCACACCGTTTAGTGTTGAATGACAGCTAGTTTTATAACTGAACCATTTTTCTCTGAAGAGCAGTCGACAGCTGGACCATTGTAATTTCAGCTCACTTAGAGTCAATGTTAAAATGTTTCGTGATACATGAACTGCAGTAACGGGGCATTTTAGATACTACGATTTTTATGCAGGGCTGGGCCCCACCTCACGTGTGTCGCACAGTTACTTAGGCAACATTTCACGAATGAACGTCTTATATAGGCCAACACTTTCCCTCTTCCCACCAGACCTCAAATTCTGTGACTTTTGGCTATGGGGTTATCTCAAAAGCACTGTTTATGGTGATAACCTAAACAATTTGGCAGAAATGAAAAATGTGATACACTGACATGTCCGTAACATTCCTCCTGATATGCTAAGAGCTGCTGTTGAGAATGCAGTAACAGGATTTAACTTAAATTAAGACACAATAACACGCCGAATAAATACAACAAAAATCAGCGTTATATTTACAAAATTTTGTAAATCTAACGCTGATTTTTGTTGTTTGACTTCTGAATTAGGATTTAACTTGCTTTCGGAAAATGCTGGACGCTACATTGAACATGCTTTGTAACACGTTTCGGAAAATATTAAACACATTTTAAACAGATGTTTTCGTGTTTTACTTCATTTAACAATATTGTATACAGCGGCCTTTTTCCCCTGGTGGTGAGTTTTTGAACTCTTTTTTTTCCGCGGAAAATAAATTCTCATAACCTCCTTTACACGATTCCCAAGTCCGATAACATGTGGTCCAGTAGTTTTCCTTTTATGACCATTTCAAATTGTAACTTTAATTATAACCACCGTGTAAATTAAACTTGAAAAGTTTGACAATTTGGCTCAAGTCCCAGTTTTAAAAATATATATATATAAGTATAATCTTTTACATTAATCCTCTTAGAAAGAATATTTTAAGAAGCTAATTTTTCTCTCGCGTTATAGATTGTATAAAAAAACATGATCTTTAATATAATTTAGATTGTTTCAGCCTATATAAGAATCAGGTCACTCGGTGGTACAGAATAAACCCTGCTGGACTGTTTTATTTCTTTGTCATTTAGCAAAAATCTTTTAATTAAAATATTTATCCTTTGGACTTCGCTTTAAACTTTAGTTAAAATGACTAGAAAATGAAAAGCTGTCTTCAGCTGAAACGCAATTCATGTAATTGATATTTTAAAAAATTGACAAGAATCCAAAATTTATGGAAGTCTAGCAATCGAAAAATCTTAATTTTCTTGTGTGAGAGCACTGAAAATAACTGTAGAAGGAAAGAAGAAAATTAGGGAGAAAAGTAAGCAAAAAACATTTGCAGGGAAAATTTGGCTTTCAGCTTCAGACATAACCAAGATGTTTAAAAAAGTTGGACGCTTTTGAATATACTTTCAGGATACTTCAAAGAATTTAGGCGTTCAAAGAGAAAACACTTGAACGTGCAAACACCGTGTACACCAGCAAATACCATCAATTGAGCTTGTGTTAGCAGAAAAAGACAAAAACGATATCATATCATTGCAGATTAAAGTAAAGTGAAGAGCGACTGGTTTTAAACTATATGGTTTTATAAATTTAAATTACGTTATAGAACATCATATCGTATCATAAATGGAGAATCCCATGATTTTCTCAGTCGAATTATTTGAAGATTCAGGAGTTTATCTAGTATTGTATGTGGATGTCACCTAAAGGCGCTTTTTTTTTCCCTCCTGATGAAACAGCGGCCGAGCGGTAAAGTCGCTGAACACTGGTAGTTCGGTTTGAGGTTCAAATCCCGCGAACGGGCTGGCTGCATGGGCGTTTTCGTGGTTTTCCTTATGTGTAACGTGTATGCGAGACAGTTTCCCTTAGACAGTCCTCTACGAAGGCATCCCTTCCCTTAGGCAGATAGCCCTAGTCTGCTTTGTCATAATTAAATAAACCAAAACCTCTTGATGAAACCAGTCTTTACTTTCATCTCATACCTTTAAAGTGTTTAGCCTCTAAAGACTGATAAAGGCCCTGACGAAATACTTCGTGAAGAACTTTCTAAGTGAAACCAGCTGTCATACACCGTACTCATGAGAAAATCCACAAAAACGCCCATGCAACCAGCCCGTTTACCGGGATTCGTACCCCGGAGTGAACTACCAGTGTTCAGCGACTTTACCGCTCTTTACCGTTTGTGGGCCTTTATGAAATGGAAGGCGATAACTTTATTTAAAATGATTGTCAGAAATATCAAGATATTTCGAAACGTTGGATGCTTTTTAATATACTTGCAGAATGCCTAAAGAAAAAGAGCAAGAATAAAGTAGAATGCCTGAAGAAAAAGAGAAGAAAAAATAAATTTTTTGCGTATAATTTAGTATTAGTATATATATATATATATATATATATATATATATATTTTTTAATTTAAAAACTTTTAATCTTATGATATTTGATTCTTGCGATTTCAGAAATAAAATATTTGACTAAAATATGAATAACATTTTAAGAAACCAAATGTAGGATAAAATTGTGTAAAGCAATGGGCACAATGATAAGACTGTTTAAAGTAGTGTATGCAAGTCATCCTAAGTTAAAATGTCGGTTATACATCTCTCTTATTTATATATATCTTTTCTAAACGGAACATTGAAAGGCGTGTTAACTGTGCTTTACTGTATTTTCTCTTTCAATATAAGCAGTTTTCAAACGCATCGCAGTCTGGGTAACAAAGTATTCTTCCGAAAGAAACGCAAGTCAAATAAATAAAATCAAATTGTGGAAAATTTATATTAATAAATATATTTGAAATGCTCAGTTCGAAGGAATAAGTAGAAAATTTTAAAACAACTCCCTGAAGAGACAATGCAACACGAATAATTAAAATAAAAGTATAAAAATTTAAAAATTACTTAAAATAATAACTATGACAAAAATATATATAAAGAAAAACATTTGAAAAAATAAACTCTACACCTTTATTTACGCAGTTCGAATAGGTAAATAGCAATTTTTAAAACAGTTATTCGAAAAAAAAAAAAAAAAAAAAAAAAAAAAAAAAATACATGCAACTTAAACGATTAAAATGAAATTCGAAAAAGAAAAAATTACTTAAAATAATATGTTATAATTAAAAATATAATATAAAGAATATTATTTGGAAAAAAGGAACGATGGTGACTTTTTTTTTTCCTCTTACGGGAAAGGAAACTAGGTTGCCATATATTAAGAAATTCGCCAAGTGAACTAATTTTGGCCCAAACTGAATAAAAAGCGCCAACATAAATTGTTGAATTTCTCCGTAAATTTCGCACCAAATTTTACAAAATTTAATATTTAGGCATAATTTGAGTCGTAGAATCGAAATATGTAAAAAAATTGGTATATTATTTCAGGAAAAGTCCGATTTTTTGTCAAAATACCTATGTTAGAATAATGCTATATATAAATCTAATATATATCCTAAGTCGCGCTTTCGAGACATGAAGAACATAATTTGAATTTTGTCAATCGGCCCAGTAGAACGGGAGATATAAAACTGTTCCTTTTTTTTTTTTTTTTTTTTTTTTTTTTTTTTTTTTTTTTTTTTTGAGCAGTGTACCTTTATATTTTGTTTACTAAGACGTAATATCATACTATAACTAAAAGAAATATATCTTACTTGGGTGTAATAAAACTTATTTTCTAGAACTACCAACACTGATACCAACACATGTGGACTACTGCTTAATCGCTGATTTTTATGAACTGATAATAATTTTAATGCCTATAATTTCAGGGGTAATGTGAATGGTGGTGAAGTATACAAACCAGGTGAAACGTGTTCAGCGTGTCCGGAAAACTCCTGCTGTGATAGCTCTTGTTCGAAATCGGGATTGACAGCAGAATATCCAGGACTTTGTAGTAAGTTTCATAATTCTCAAATTTCATTCGCTTTCCCCAATATAGAAACTGCAGAAAATGATATTGTCGTCTTTCAAGAGAATTAAAAATTACAGATTTAAGCAACCTATCTCAATTTGTGGTCCCCGAAGCTTACCCGTGATGTCGTAGATTCCCAAAAGCGACCAAAAATTAAATTGAAATTGACTGCGTATACCCCACTTTAATACTGAAGTTGAGTTTGATGTTGCGCAGTAAAGTCATCTATCATTTTTCTCTCCAGATTGATATTTTATTAAATTTATTAATCCTTACCTTACTTACGGATTTCCCACTCTAGTCTTAGCAGCAGAAGAGAGATCTAAAGCACTATGGTGTTTCCTACTAACATACATCCAAACATAAAACAGCTAAGCAAGAATCGGTAGGCTCATCCATCTTTTTAAAGTGGGCATATTTAATTTTTAGTTAATAAGATAAGGATTAAATAAATTCTAACAGTCTTGAAATATTAAAAAAAATTTAATTTTTTTCTATTAACTTATATAAAATTAAATGAATTTTAATTAATTGTATTTTAAAAATATAAGTATATTGGTAGTAACATATGATTAATAACTGCTTTCAAAACGGACAAGAATAAGGTGGTCCACATGTGGTACATTCTAATTTGTAAAAATGATCTCTAATAGAAAAAGGTTTGAGCAATGCCGCACTAAACTAAAGAAAGTATCAAATCCTATGTAAAAAGGGGAAATTTTATATGAACATAATTTGTTTCGCTAGAAAAGGAAAAGAAACCACCAATGACACATCTTTTTTGATTCTGACTACAGTGTGTCTCTCAAAGATTGGGATTCTTGATAAAATAGATATTTAATCTACTTTATCAAGTGTCTCAATACTTCAGCAAGTGTCCAAATATTTGAGAGTGTAAATATTTAATCTATACACTTGATCTTGATAAAGTAGATATTTAATCTACACTTGATCTTAATAACGTAGATATTTAATCTAAACCTGATCTTGATAAAGTTGATATTTAATCTACTTTATCAATAAATCTGCTTGATAAAGTAGAATAAATATACTTGATCTTACTAATAAATCTACTAGGAAGAATTCAAGTATTAAATTTATTCGAATTTTCCATCCCATCATATATGGTTTATCATATCAAAACATACAGTTACAGAACTTAATTTATAAATGGGCGTTTTGTTGTAATGTTTTTGTATATGGATACGTGCTTAACAGTTTCCATAATATAACCAACATATAATAATCGAGTATATTCTCATAAGTGAAGGAATTCGTAGCTTTCCCTTCCACAACAGAGAATAGACATAGACCACTCAAAGAGAAACTACTTACTATATAACAAAACGCCATAATAGACGACATAGAGCATTCATGCTCTATTCTCCACATATACAATGTAACACTTAGATTGCCAAAGTACATAGCAAGATTCGCTATCCCTCATAACACACTTCCTTTCTATTTCTGTGTAACGTTTCTAACTACTTTGTCTATGCTTAACTTAGTAGAAACGTTATTGAACTATGTAGCGGCTTATCGCTGAGTCCAAGTGTATAAATTTAAAATCCAGAGAAGAGTTAAATTCATCCTTTATTATCTCAAACTAAGAACACAGATGGCCCCTTTCTCGGGCTTACAGAAAAGCCTCCACTTGGGCTTCAACTCAAGATAAGAAAATATGAACCTGATCTAATGCTAAAACTGAAGTTAGCCGAAACTGTACAAAAGTATCTAACGCAGTTGGCTCTTAATTAAATTAACCGGCGAATATCAGCAAACACGTTCAATACAGGCGAACGTAGTTAGCTTTAAACAACAAAGTAGCCTGACGATAAACAAGCGCCACTAAGGACTCCTAAGCTGTTCTGCTCAAGTGAGCGAAACCTTCCTTTAAATACTCTTTCTACTTCGTTTACATGCAACGCGATACTAAAAGCTTACTTTGGTAGGGAATAGTAGGTGTGAAACGAGAACAGACAGCAAAGCGTGCTTAAAAATTAAAATAACTGTTAGAAACTTAAAATAACCTATACAACTGTCCATCTGCGAAGAGCGTTGCTCCAGTATGCTTTTCGTTGTATTATGGTCATCATTTTTGTTGGCTTAATAACTTCTCAGTCGTTATAATCCATAAATTTTTGACTTACTCTGAGAAATTCTGTTTTTAACAGTGGATCTTCTTTTAACAGTGGATTTAATACTGGAAATTCGCACACTGGCAATTTAGTTGTAAAATCACTCACATAAAGCTTGTTAATTTAGATACTCATCAGATAAAGCATAACAAAAAAGAAACCTCACAAATCTTTTTCCCATTTACGTAATACTCCATTACAATTGCTTGGTAAAACAACTCTATATTACTACGTTATAACAATTAATTTCGATTTACATTGTTAAAGTTTAGTAGCATTATTTATAACTTTGCCACACACTCTTATTTGATCTGCCACACATAACGAATAAGATCTTCCAAAGTATTATGAGCCAACTTCTTTGTTGACTCTTTTGATTGTGATAATAGATATCTCATATTAAATTAAAAGAGCTTATTGCTTCTTATGTTATTTCCGCTGTTGTGTCTCATTTCTCTGATATATTTAGACCAAACCCATGAATATTATCGCATCAAGGGGTGTAATTTTTGCGCCTGTCGTTTGACATGAACCCCTGAGCACCATACAGGTGATAACACGGCTTTTGCTCAGTTCCGCCCTCCCCCCAAATTTTGAGATAGAGTACGACAGAGGACGGTTCCGAAGGTCTCCCACGCAGAGCCTGACTATGGCAGGGGCATATGGGGCAGTTGCCCCGGGCCCCCACATCACAGAAGAATAGAAATCGAATAGAAAATTTATTATTATAAAAATTTAAATATCTCCAAAAACGTTTGCTTGTTCATTACTGAAGTAGGGAAGCAGAGGGGCCCCCCAAGAAAGGTTTTGCCCGGGCCCCAGTTAGGCTAAGTTGGGCCCTGCTCCCCCTCCCTCTTTTCCTACCACCAAACCCCACGAGAGGACTTTCAGCTCATCACATATTTAGAGTTTTCCCGTGCCGCAAAAACAATATACATTTACAATATCCATGCCTTCTCCGGGATTCGAACCCGGTTCGCTGGTATGGTTGTCACTAACCACCATCCCACTGAGTTGACACTTGTTTCTTATCATCATAGTAATATATTTTTAGTGTAATATAATATTTAATTATAATAAAGTTTCTTACTTTGCTCTTTTAATAAAATGCAAATTTTAAAAAGCCTGATCGAAGTAGTTCGTACAGTTTTAAAACTGAAATTAACGTTTTTGGCAAGAGCTTAAATATATTCCTGCTTTTACATGAGCTTGTAGCTGATTTAAGGTTGAAGAAGTCGTTTTTGTATCTCTGGAGTTATTCTACAAAGCTGTCGTTTAGTGTAACTGCATTAATGTTAATGTAGTCAACATAATTTAAAAAATACAGATGTGCTCCTGTAGAGACATACAAATATTTTTGTGAAAAAATTCGTAATTCGTGAAATCAGTTACTTATATGTAATGATTTTAAAATGCGTAGATGAAGGCACTGGAACTTTAACAGTTTACGATACTGCGTAAATGACCGAGAAGACCGTAGTGGCTTGAAGGTGGCAGAGTGGAAAGCATGATGACGCAATTTAGCACAACGTATCTTGAAAAATCACAATCTTCATTTTTTTTTTTTTTTACGTATATCAAACCATCCTTTTTTGCGGACCACATTATATATACATACAGACCTAATTATATTCGAATACAAGTTTCATTTTGAAGTACGACGTCATTTTAAGCAAGTAAGTGGCAGCAGCATACATGAAAAGCGTCTTGCCAGTAGGAGAGCTTATGCGGAAAAGGGAAGAGTATCATAGAACAAGAAGGGTGGGAGTCGGAAACGTTTCAGTTCAGAGTTTTGGTTTACAATTAATTTGATTGGACAAGAGGTATCTGCATTAAAACGTTACGTAAGATAGAAAAATCTGGAACCTGTAAGAAGAGATGAATTTAGGGGCAAATCACCAAACTTAGAATGTTAATTTTGAGGTCGACAATTATTTTTTTGAAACAGCTATCATATTGTGTTAGATCTTCATTTAATTTCATTTCTTATCATAGTATCCCTCCTTCAAAAGAAAAAGGCGGAGCGATAGAGAAGTTTTTGAGAGTAAAAGCATTAGAACAGCAAAATATGAGAAATATTTTGAAATTATCAAACGCAAAAATTAATTAACTTCTGAACAATAAAATTATAATACGTAAAATTTTGAATTCAAAAATCATTTTAAGCACTATGAAGATTAAAGTTTCAGTTCAGTGTTTTGCGTTACAATTAATTTAATTGGACAACAGGTATCTGCATTAAAACGTTACGTAAGATAGAAAAATCTGGAACCTGTGAGAAGAGGTGAATTTAGGGGCAGATCACCAAATTTAGAATGTTAATTTTGAGGTCGCCGATGTTTTTTTTTTTTTTTTTTTTTTTTTTTTTTTTTTTTTTTTTTTTTTTTTTTGAAACAGCTATCATATTTTGTTATATCTTACATATATATAAAGAGCCTTGCACGGAAGCCACTCAGGCGACATATTGTTTCGTGACACTGACTGCCGTGTTAGTATTAACGGGCGCAACCGCTGTCCACCTAGTCGACATAAGCCGTCCATATGACTAAAAGGAGGACCGGCCAATCCAATCAAAAACGAGAGTGCCAGCAGCTCGGCTACGCTCCGCTCCTCAAAACAAAAAATAAATAAATAAATAAAATAAAAACAGAAAACGCTGACTGCTGTATCGAAGAGCCCGCGTTTGATTCTCGGAGGCGGCGTTGATGTTTGTTAGCGAACTGTGCGATAAGGATGCACTGAAAATATACGGCGAGCAGAAAATACCCTCGAGAGGTTGATGGTAAGAGAAGAGAAGTGGGAAACTCCCAAACTGCCACTCTGAGATATTCGCCCTCAAATGTGGCGTGGAAACTTAACAGTTAACTAGTTCTATTTTCAGTCACCTATGGCACTACGGAGGCGCTGGCCTAGCTTCTACATGCACATGTTTTACTGAACACAGAAGTAATAATTGTCTGAGTGTACGGCTTTTGTCTTGAAGGACTCTAAATTTTCCCCAAAATTCAAACTTTGATTCAATAATATGCACTGAAATGTAGTGTAAAAGTTGTAAATTTTTCTCTAATATCTCAACGAATTTTTTTTTATTTAAAAGGTATAGAAACCCGCAGATAGAGGTGAACTATTATGGACTATCTACCAGTATTTGGAGACCTGTGACAGAAAAGAAAAACAAAATTTATTCATATTCAATTAGTTGGTGAAGCCTACACGAGTGGCAGTTATAGCTTCAAATTTTCAGGGCATGCTTTCCGCAGGTCGCTGTATGACCACGCTTCCACTCGGCTTGGAGAAGACCAGTAAGTTCCTTCAGCGATGTTGGACAGTTACTGCATCTCTTAATTTGGCGATCAAACTCACCCTATAGGTTATAGATAGTGTTCATATCTGGGCTCTGGGCAGGTCAGTCCATTCAGCCATTGTCACCATACTAACCCATGGTGGCCCTCGCAGCATGACAGCTGGCAACGTCATCCTGAAAGTAACATGAGTTCAACTTGTAAAACTCCTACAACGTAGGAAGTACACTATCATTCAAAATAGTGCAGTAGGCTTCGGCGTTTAGTTTAGCGTGAATTTTGGCCGAGGGTTCAGTCCGTACCAGGAGAAACGCCAGACTTAGACCGTTCTATTCGAATGGAAGAAAGTGAACCTTGATGGTTGTTCCAGAAAACCCGTTTTCACTGATCAAGGGTCCACTGTCGGCATGCTCTACACACATTAACCGAGTGCGGTTGAACTTTGTGGCCAAGGGCTTATAAGCGGCAGCACGAGCATGAAGACAAGCAGATGTGCTTTCTTAATGATAGCATTCATGGAAGTAACACTCCAGCTTGCCTGTTGAAACTCCTGGAGTATGTGGGACGTCGGTTGGGTGCATTTCTCTGGACAACGCCCGTAGAATCCTGTCTCCCAGTTTCGTGGGTCTGCCGACTCAGGGAACATTCCGAAAATAACCTCTCACCTTCCGCTTCTGAATCACATAAGCCATTGTCGAATTTGGGTAATTCAGCTCACTAGATATTCCCCTTAAGGATGGGTTATTTTTGTGATACCCTACGATTACACCTTTACGGAAATTAGATAACTGCACTTCGAGGCATCTTGCATGCGACTATTGCCAATGTTATTTCTTGCACGATATTTAATGGCGAAGGGCGTGACGTATGTCAGAACCGCAGATTTCGGCATTTGCATGGATGCCCAATACTTATTGCTTGATAGTGTACAACTACGGATTTGGCTCAAATCCGTAGTAGATTTGGAAATTTCAAAGTTCTTCCAACTGTCATGAATAAATGGTATTTTCTTGATTATGATTCCAAATAGACCTTTCCACTTTATAACTTGGCTCCTTTTCGTCCAATATACATCCAAACAGAAATGGGATACATCAAGAGCTGGCAGAAATTTTTCCCTTTAACGAATTAGAAAGCCATCCTTCTATGTGGAATTTTACGTCTCTTATCCTTCGAGAGTTAAGGAAAAGCCTTGAAAAATATTGATACAATAATGCTTGATCTGATCACGTTAGTCCATATTTTGATAACATTCACCGAATGATAATATTACATGATGAGAAAAGATACCACTTAAAATAACAATGAACTTTGGTATAACTATAGCTAGAAATATATAAACAGGTACTTTCACAGCATTCCACTGTCGGAGGAACATCATTACCAATGGAATGTTTGCAAATGTTACATAAAAGTTCCAGCTGTCCATGATGTTTCTGAGAAATGTTTAACCTATTCCGTACCCGTAATCCTAATAACTGAAGAGCATTCCCTATCTCATTTGTACGAAATTCACCAATTTCATCACATGTTCACAAAGTTGATGTGCTTGGAAAGCCACTGGCAGATTTCTTGTCTTTAAATAGTTAATCCAGCGGATCTTCGTCAAACTTATTGGAAAAACAAATTCCTTCATTCATAGTAGACTTAACTCGAAGCGAACATGCCAATGTAAGATTTAAAATCAGGCAGAAAAAACATTAGTAAGACGCAGAATTTTTTTTTTTTTTTTTTTTTTTTTTTTCCTTCAGAAGGAAAAAAAAAATCTGCATAATTCTGAAGGAGAGGAACCTGGTCCGATCGTCCGCAAAATTTAATCAAATCGACTTACTCAAAATTTACACCATAATTTTAAATGGTTGACTAAAACCAAAATCAAGCTGTTTAACGATATTTTCTGATGTTTGGAAAATTTATAACCTAATTTGACCTTATTTGGCGACATTATCTTTTATTTGGCAATTTTACTTCAGTTCTGAAAAAATCGTTCTGTAACCGAATATTCATATTAACCGAACTGTCGATCACATTAAGCGATGTATTTTCTATGTTTCTGTATAAACGAGTGGGACGTCGTCAGTTCGATAACGATAACCGAATGGTAACATTAACCGTTATCATATTAAGCGGCGTCTACTGTGTAGCCTTTTTCGTTAAAAATATTTAAAGCATTAAATAATAATATTATACATCTTTTTCAGAAGAATTGTCCACAGAATGATTTCGCCTGCTTTATCATCATAAGGAAAACAGAATTTTTACAAAAGAGAGGTAAGAAATCTTTCTTAAATATAAACTACTCATAAAATTAAAATTACTTAAAGTTTTTGATTAAATGAGACAAATTACTGCATAAAAATAGTACAGCAATACTGTAAACAGTCTCTATAAGCATAGCATTTGAAACTTTTACATATTTGATTTTAAAAATTTGTTTAGGAAGAAGGTTCTGGTTAATCTTCGAAACTGAAGTCCTGCAAATTTATTTACGTTTCGCCGATTCCTATTGCTTATTAGTAGTTTATCTAACATTTAGTTCTAAGATGTTTTTTTTTTTTTTTTTTTTTTTTTTTTTTTTTTTTTTTTGCTATCTATGCACTTGTTTATATGAATTTTTAACTATTTCAATATTTCACTGTTAATATTTCTTGCATAATAACATTAATTTCCCTAATTAGTTATGGCCGAAGTTATTTATGTGATCTAAAGCAGAAACTTCATATATATAATTTTATATTTGGCGGAATATTTTTTATATTAGTATGAATTACAAAGAAAATGTAAATACATTTATACAATAATAATCAGCAAACTACACATATTTCGTTCACATTGAAAAATTACATGAAAAATAGAAAAATCTTACCGTCTTGTACAGAAAGCTTCACATTTCCATATCACTGAAAAGGAACTTCACGGAAAGCAAGAACAAATCGGTAAAAGCAAAGCAATATCAATAAACTGATAGTGTCATGCCACCAATTTTTAATTATTGTAAACATAATAATCATCGCTTACTCAGCAATGGCGCCATCCGTCAACAGTTAGATAAAACAAAAGCGGAAAATTCCAGTCATGCAATTATAAACAAGAATGCGAATGAATCATCTGCATTCTTGTTTATAATTCCATCAAGTTCCATGCATAAAAATCCATCAAGCTGCCTATTGACACGGAGAAAAACTGTGTTATTAATGACTACAATAGCATATGTTTGTAATTCAAAAGGAAAGAGAATTCCAGTTCGCGCTAATATTGACAACAGGAACATATTCATGGATGCCAACTCTCACTTTCAAATGTCGCTAGATACACCTGCAAAAATAGCTAAATTCAGAAGGAATTTCTCTAAAAGTAGTAGCTAAAATTTAAAAAAAAAAAAAGGTATAATCTATATTCCATTATATTGTTACGAAATGTAAAGGCGCGGTAAGATAGCTTCCCCGCAAAACAGTTTTAGGGTTGCCATAAAATAGCAAGAAGGGTAGGGTTGCCACATATGGCGACAAAATTGGCGATATACCATGGACGGTTGGAGAATAGTTAGTGTATGGCGCTTAGTGCATCATCGAGAGAGCGTGTTGAGCTCCGGGAAAGAGTGAACCGAAGAGTCAGGAGCTGTGCTCGTGTGTCGCCGAGTGCATCGCGAGTTGTAGCGTGGAGATTCTCGAGAGTACGGGGAGTTCCGAGAACGACCAAGTAGAGTCGGGAGCTGTACTCCGGAAAAGCAGAGTCGGCTGCTTTGCAGGAAGCTGTCTCCACCGTGATAGCCTGATAACTTGAAGGCTGTGTCGCTGATCGTGTCAGCTTGTTTATAGTAAATCTTCGACGACTGTAAAACGTGTTTTGGACCTGTCCTGACAATACTGGCAAATAAAGTGTGTTTCAGTACTTCATAAAGTGTCGTCGTTATTCACTCCAAATCCACACGAATCCCGCAAGAACGTGAAGGAAGAAAATAACGTAACAACTGGTGTCAGAAGAATAGGAAAAACGTAACAATATTAGATTTTGTTACTCGTTATTTTTTAAACTGTATCTTCATAAAAAATATAAATAATGTCCCAATTTTTCTGTGGACCAGCAAAAAGTTATCACAGACCGCCAGTTGGCGACCGCTGATATAAAATGAAGGAAGGAAATTCATTATTCTTCGTGACGTATGGAAAGTAAATATTCTATATTTTTATATGCATACCAATACCATCAAGTAAATTACCATCAAGTATCAATACCATCAAGTATCAAACTATTGTTGGTTGATCTTACCAGCTGTACTGAAATAGTGCCATGATAACGGCAATTGAGATTGTAATGTACATGAAGGTTATTGTGTCTGTGGGACGGTGACTTGAGTCCGGGAGAAGAAGGGGTGTCGATATTACACCATGAGGTGACGTTTTATATGCATACAAATATGGCATGCTATTTATATGGCAAAGAGTTGTGCCTCCAAAATTTGTAGAGGAAGCATATACATGACCCCCCCCAGAAAAGAATTGATTGCTTTTGTTAATTTGGATGTATCATTTCCTTTGTGCTCAACATAGGCCTAGTTACAAAGAAATGTTGGCCTTAGGCGCTGGAAGATTTGTTACTTGTGTTTGCGATTGCATGTACTGCTGAGAAACAATCTGTATAGAGGTAGGTCCTTGGGAAATGCTGACGCATGCTTCTGTGGATTACTTATAGGATCGCGAATATTTCCTATTGAAATACGCTATTCTCTACATCGAGCTGAAATTTGAAGTCCTTTGTATCATAATCATTGAGATAAATTTTTATGGCGCACCATTTTCCGTTTTTTATGTCGGAGTCACCTGTGTATATCTTCGGAAAGAATTTTTGGTATCTGTTCTGCCTTAGGCACAGCGAACGCTACGCGCACATAACGTAACATAGCATAACACAGGCTAGCATATTACTTAAGCAGCAGTGCAACGTGCTCCTGTTATAATAATTGGGCGTATACAATATTTACTGTAACATCCAGGTAGCGGTGTAAATGTCCCATGAGCCCAAATCCGAACACAAAATGAAACAACTGATGACACCGCCAGTTGTGGCAGTAAATATTTGCGATAATTGTTGATAAATATTTGCGATAATTATCGGTTGCAGCAAACACCAGTATCACCTCGGCAACAAAACGGCACCGTGGATCCCAGGAAAGTGATATTTATCTGGATAGTTAGAGTAAGGAGCTTTCACCTACGTACTCGGGGTAAAATAGTAGATGGATCCTGCATTTATATGGAAGTTCGCGCTAAACCTAAATTAAAATATTAGCAAAAATTTGCCGATCGCAAACTTTTGCTAATATGCAAGTAAATATAACAACAAATCACAATTATTTTCAGAAAGCAAACCACCAACTAGAGAAGTGTGCCATTGACGGGTATTGAAATTCAATGAAAAACTGGGCGTTCATAAAAAGTACTCAAGATTAAATGCTGAAATTGAAACTTGATTTATCAGTGAAAAAAAAAATATGTATGCAATCATTTGGGCCCTACTTTGGATGTACAGGCGATACGATTTCTGCTGGAACAGGAAGTTAGACGAGCATTCACACAATATATTGATCGTATGATGTACTTCCAATACAGGTATCAATTAGCGGTAATTATTTATTCTTGGTTAACACCAGATGAAATGTGAGTCGCTTTGCAAATGCATAGAGACTTCATTTTGCTGTTTGTGAAATAAACAGAAATCGCTTCCATGTGTGATGTAGCATTTCACTGAAGAATTAAATCTTTGGTCGTACCCAATAGTCCAGACTCCAGGTAACCAAATATTTACCAATACTGATATTGGTTGAAATGGTGTTTTTGAGAGAGATTTAGCAAGCTTTGAGAGAGATTTAAAGCTTACTTGCTCACGAATTTATTTACAATATAAGCCTATCTAAGAACCCAATTATGTGTTTGAGTTATCCATATTTTTCGTATTCTGTTTATTGCAAAAGGCGCAAGTACATGTTTCTACCTTCTGTAGCATTTAATTTAACGTTTATGCTTATTTTATAGAATTTTTAATTGGCAATTATACCCAATCTTGTATTATCTTTCTATCTCATCAGTGCAATTCAATAAAATAATCTCATAACAAAGTTTAAAATTAATCTGTTTCTTATAGATATCTTTTTCTTATCTTGCAGGTCTGCTGCAGTCTTCTAACTTCCTCTTAACTGATCCAGCTCAAATGTATTTGGATTCCTTTATTTTTGCTTTAATTTAAAGAAATTATGTCAAAATGTAATTTAAAATTATCATCCTTGGCTTAGATATAGGCAGGTTTCATATGGTATATTAAAAGAAAGTGTATGAACTGATTTATGTCACCAAATTATTTAATTGAAATTTAACAAACTTCTTACCTATGTTAAGACAACAAAGTATAATAAAATTTTATTTTATAATACTTTGTTGTCTTTTGAAATTTCTGAAATGTATATAAACAATTTCCTGAAAGAAATATTAATTTGAATTTTGCTCTTTATACATAAATAAATGTCTACAGTAAATAATTCTAAAAAATATGAATTCTAAGTTATGTAGGTACACAACTTATACTCACATGCTAGAATATTAACGTGAAATTAGTGTAAAATTGACCGAAACAGATTGAATTAATTATGCTATATTTTGTAGAAAACATTACTGTTTTTCAACTCAAACATGTATAATCCTTAGTAACTATGTTTAACTGGCAATTATGCACCGAATCATCGATTTTAGAGTTGTCAAAATTTGTCCATGTTTAGGTAGAAATGCAAAAGAAAGATTAACATTATCCGTATTTCTCATTCATTTAAATGAAACAAATTAGTGAAAACTAAAATTTTAGAAAACGTTTTTTTATCAGAATTTTTAATCAAAAAATATTTTATGGATAAATTGCTATTAAAATGTTGCCATCTTTTAATTGAAATCTAACTTTTGACATATATTTGATAAATATTTAACGAAATTAAGTAATTTAAATTTTTAAAAGGTCAGCACTATTCTAGAGCAAGGAAAATAACTTAGATCACGTAAAAGTTTACCAATAAAATTGACCCAAAATAAGATATACATATGATTAGATATTTAAGTACAGCAGAATTTCTCTCCCCCTTTCGAATTACAGATTTATAAGAGCTAATTAGCTGACATAGAAATTTTCTGTGTAATCAAAATACGTATTAAAATAAATGCATATTAGCACGGGTGTCGGGTCAGCGCCAGTTTAAGACTGGAGAAAACATCATTGTTTTCAACTCAAGCATATATGGATATGGATATGGAGAAATGTGGTGGACACCTATTCTTTAACCATTGGCAATGTGGGTATTGTCCAGCCACACTAGATATCCAGATAAATTACATCGCACAGGATCCTGCCAGGCGTTGCTTGCAACGCTTTGTATTTTACCAGATCGCGGGCAGTGCCTCAAGCATATAAGCGATAAGCAACGGAGGACGTGGACACTGTCCCTTTACCAAAAGGTTAATCGGTATAGCACCACGTCCACCTATATCTAGAGCCTAAAGAGGAATCACAAGACGCCACGCACCGGGCGCCCAAACCCAGAGCCAAATTCAACCCGGGGACAGTCCAACAGACCAAATGCCCACGAAAGACAGTCCCAACAACCGCCCAGGTCCCACATTTATTAAATAAAATAACAAAAGCATGCAGGGCCAAAAAGGGCGAGTTTTGACAATAAGCAAAAATTTTACAAAGGTGTAATACACACAAATATAGAATATACATAAGGCTAAAGTACAGTCTGATGTTGGGCAGCCCAATAATACAATGAGTAAAATATAGACAGTAGAATTAGACTTAATGACAATATAACATAAAAATAGAGAACATAGTGACATAATGAATGTAAATGATTACAGCAATACACAGAGGATATACCAAAAGAAATAAAAATAAAAGAATACAATAGCCATCAGTGTGTGACTGGAAGTACTGATACATGAGAAATGCGTAAAGCATTCAGAATTCCACTTAATTCAGAAGACTAACAACTGAATCGGGATACATTGCATAGCCAAGTACATATATTTGACAAAGCAACATATTGAGAGTCAGTGTAATAAAGTGGATATTCGCTATGACAAAGTCATGTTACAATACCGCAGGTAGTGATGTGATACAGAAGAAGTAGGTAGCGTACAATATAATTTATTCAATCCCTATAGTACAACAATGGTTAGGAAAAAGGAATATGTTATACAAAATATATTTAGCATGCAACTGTGTTTAAGATATACAAAGGTCGATACATTGGTTACTACCAATTATGGTACAGGATTCGTACCAAACTTAGTAACAGAATGCAATAGCGGTACAATACAATTGATCACGTGGTATTGTGGGAAAAACATGCAATAAGGCTAATTATACGATTATGAGGAATAAAAATAACATATTTAGCCTGCATAAAAGTTAACGAATATAGGATACCATACAATAATATGCAATATTACAATACAATACAATACAAAAAAAATTAACATATTTAACCTGTACTAAAAGCCAACTGATATAAGATACTATACAATACCACAATACAATACGATACAGTAGATACAATACCACAATATAATACGATACAGTAGATGCTATACAATACTATACAATGAAAATACAAAATACATTCAGTGTTGGTGACACAAAAATACATTTAAAATTGTCATGACACTAGTGATGAAAATACAAAATACATTCAGTGTTGGTGACACAAGAATACATTTAAAATTGTCATGACACCAGTGATCCTAATGCAGCAAATAAATTGATGCAGTTACCTGCATAAAAGATAACTAATATAAGATACCATACAATACTATACAATACTACAATACAATACAATACAAAAGCTAATTATACGATTATAATGAATAAAAATTAACATATTTAACCTGTATAAAGCCAACTGATATAAGATACTATACAATACTAAACAATACCATAATACGATACGATACAGTAGATATACTACAATACTATACAATAAAAATATAAAATACATTCAGTGTTGGTAACAAAAATATACATTTAAAATTGTCATGACACCTGTGATCCTTATGCAGCAAATAAATTGATCAGACAGTTAAATGTGTTACTATACATTTGCAAAGGATGAAATATAGACTTAAGTATGCCACAAATTATGAACATATATTATACCGTGAAAAACACAAAATACATTCAATGTTGGTATAAATACAATGGATATATTTAAAACAATGGATAATGGTTGGATATATTATACAATGAAAATCTCTAGCGACCCCAATACATTCAGTGTTATTATTACACAGAGAATTAAATGTATGATATTACATGGGCAATTGATGAAAAGAAGACAGTAACAGTATAATGTATAGCCAAATATGCAAGTATATGGTATACCGATGTTTAACAGCAACTGGCAAACAATGTATCATTAATACGCACAACTAGATATGCCAAGATATTATATACTATTATACAGTGAAAAACGCAAAATACGTTCAATGTAGATATATTATCATAGTGCATTATGAGGGAATACAGACAGTTACATGTTTGATAATACACGGGCAAAAGATAAAAATAAAGACAATAACATTATTATTCATAGGTAAATAGCAGATTTAATATATTCAGATATTTAACAGCACCTGGTAAAAAATGTACCATAAGTACATTGATAGCTGCTATGGACAGCAAAGAGATTATTAGGACAATACATATGCAACAGATAAATATGCAAATTCAATATATACAGATATTTAACAGCACTTGATAATAAATGTGCATATGCAGGCCATGGCTGCTTAAGGATAAGATTGTATGTCACATTCCAGAGAAAGGGGCTCGCACATGAACCCTGTGGGCACCCTCGAGTCTGACATCTATGTACCAGGCCTCCATTATAGGAAATGATCAAATGTCGATCGGACAGATAATGTGCAAGAGTATTATATAAATTGCGGGGGCAATTGGCATCTCTTAATGCATATAGAACTGCCGGCCACCACAGCGTATCGAAGGCGCTCTTTAAATCCACTGAGATAAACGCTGTGTGGTGGCCGGAGAACTTATTGCGCAGGATGGTATCTTGAACTTCCTTTAAAGCATGCAGTGTTGATCTTTTGGTGCGAAAACCGTATTGAAAAGAACACAGATAATTTGTTGAGTGCAAATGAAATCTCAATCGTCCCATAAGAAGTTTTTCAAAAGTTTTGCCAAAAGCTGACAACAAACAAATAAGGCGATAAGAATCGGCTCGGGCTGGATCACGGTGTTTCTTTAAAAATAAGATCACCTGGCCAATTTTAAAACATTGAGGAAAAGTTCCATTATTGAATAGCTTATTAAACAGGCTTTGGAAGAGACTGAGATTGGTGCTAATAATCAATTTGACAATACGGTAGTCAACACCATCTGGACCCGGTGAGCGCTTATTAGGGAGTTGGCGTAAGACTTGCCGAATTTCTTGAGTAGTAAAAATAACATCGTCTGGTGTTTGAAGACTAGAAGTTTGATTTCGAATAGTCTGATGAAAGGAGGAATCAGTTGAATTATCATCTGTAGAAAAAACCGTGTCAAGGACTTCTGATAGAGTTGATTCAGTCAGGTGACTATTAGGACTAAGTGTAGGTAAAAGATGGAAAGTTGCTGGCTTAAACAGCTTGTCGGTCGCAATCTTATGATGAATACCATAAACAGATGTTGTCTCAGAACAAAATTTGCGCCAGCTAGTTAATTTGGCACGTATAATCATTTGTTTGTAATATGCTCTTTCCTGTCGGTAAAGAAGCAGAGTATTGGAGATGATATTATTTCGACGTTCTTGCTTTAGCCGACGTCGAAGAGCTCTACATTTTTGTTGTTGAGTACGAAACTGAGCATTTTACCAATTTAATGTACATAACTTCTTAGTGGTACGAATAGGCAAAACACTATCACATACTATTCGAATGGTAGCCATAAGATCACTAGTAAAATTTTGTAGATCTCCACGAGAATGCAGAGATTGAAGACGAGAATGATAAGAGGCCAAATTGGCTTGAATGGCTGCAGTAAACTGTCTGACCTTTCGGCCAGGTAAATTATAACGCCGTACGATGGAGGTGGCTGTAGTTCCCGCGAGTGAAAAACGTATATAGTTATGGTCTGATAGACTTAGACCCTCAATTACTCGCCAATCTTGAAGAAGAGAGGCCATAGGCAAAGTAGACAAAGTCAAATCTGGCCAACCATGTGAATGTTGACGATCAAAAGTCGGAGGAGCATCATGTGAATTATGTTTCACGAGATTAAAACTGGATATAAAATCTTCCAGA